AGGCAGAGGGAACAGCAAAGGCGAGGGCCCTGCGGTAAGGTGGGTTTGAGGGCTGGCCCTGGGCCAGTGCCGCTGAAGCAGATAACTAGGGGAAAGAGGAAGAGATAAAGTCAAAGACACCTGTGCATCTATGAGGGAGAGGTCAAGGTCAAGGTCAAGGTTGAGGCAGAAGGTCACGCAGAACCTTGTAGATGGTGCTAAAGGCTGGGTTTTGTTCTGTGAGAGGTGAGAGGTCACTAGAGGCTTCTGAACAGAGAACTGATGTGATATGTTTCTGAAGATTCTTTCATGGAGACTCCGTGCACTCTTTCAACTCCTCTGTAAATCTTTCTTTAAAGAAAAATTTAAAAAGGACCCCTAACGACAGTGGCGGGGACGGCTGTAGCATGGAGGCCAGTTTAAGAGGTGGTTGCAATCACCCTCTTGGGTACGTTACTCAAACTTTCTGTGGCTCAACTGTGAATCAGACAATAAAAATAGTACCAGCCTCACTCTATTGCTACAAGGATTAAATGAATTAAAGTGTTTAGAACAGTGTGGGATATCTAGTAAGGACCAGATAAGTGTTTATGCAATAAAAAATTAACATAAAAGGTGGCTTGGACTGGGAAGATAGTGTGATCTGCTACACTGTGAAGGGTAAGCCGACAGGAATTGGCAAGAACTGGGTGTCAGTGTGAGAGAAATCAGGGTGATTCCAACGTTCCTGGCCCCAGCAACAGAAAGAATGGAGATTCCGTTTACTGAGGCAGGAAAGGCCACAGGAGCAGCAGGCTTGGGGAAAAGCTGATATTTTGCTGTTAGACATACTGTGCTTGAGAAGCCTAGGAACATACAAGGGAAGATGCTCAATCCGTGGGTAGCATTTAAAATTCAGGGAAGGGGCCTTGGCTGGAGATAGAAGTCACCAGCATAATACGGTGACCAAGGGTCTGGGGCTGGATGAGACCAACAGGAAGTGAGTGTTGGTGAGAAAAGAACAGGGGTGGGGACTGAGCCCTGGGCCATCCCATGTTTAGGGATTGGGAAAAGGAAGAGGAAATAGGCAAAGAGACTGAGGGGTGACTGATCAGGTGGGACGAGAAAAGAGTTTCAAGAAAGAGAGGGTGACAGTGAGGAAATGCAGCTGCTTCTGCTGCCACCAAGTCAGAGAAGACGGACACAAAGAATCCCGCACTGGGCAAAGGCCTGATTGGAATGGGTTCCAGAGGGAACTGCAGAAGAAAAACTAGAGACAGCGTATAGACAAAGGGGCACATCACACTCTGTGTGCACCAGCCTCCACATGGAGCGTGATGAGAGGTAGGCCACAGAAACAGGAGGAAGGGCCTGGAACAGGGGTCCAGATGCAGTGGGTGGCCAGTGCAGGCGGGAGATCACGCAAACCTCTTCACTTGCTGCTAAGCTCCCGGTGAAGTAGAAAGACAACTGCGGTCATGAGGTAGGATTAGGCTGGCAGGAGATGCTGGGGTTTTGAGAACTAAGGGAAAGGTGTGTGAAATAATCTTTAAAAGTGTGTGAGGGTGGATGAAAAGGGGAAAATTGTAGAGTTTCCAGGCAGGACAAAGCGAGGGACTGGAGGTGGGGATCACAAATTTACAGGAGAGTGAGCACTGCTGTGAGTTCTGCTCTAGCGACGTTCAGCTGCCCCAGTGCAGGGGAAGAAGAGGTGGCCAGCGGGATTTAAGCAGAGCCGGAGTTCTGCCAGAGCAGTATAACGGAGCACCGGAGGGGCAAGGAAGTGGAGGACGAAAACAAGGAAGTGAGTAAAACGATGGTGAAGCGTGAAAAAGGCTGTTGACCAAGCTGGGGGGCCTCCAGCACCCTGGCCCTCAGCTGCTGATGGGCCCCATCTTAGAAGCTGGCAGGAGAAAGAGCTGAGGGGCAAGAGGAGACCTCAAGAGAATCGTCACCATTCTGCTCCAGAAAGTATTTTCGGTGCTTTCAGTGGAATTTAATTTTATAAGACGGGAAGGGAGAACACAGCTGGGGAAGAAGCCATGACTAAGTGTCATGACCAGTGTCTTGTGGATGCTGGCAAGATGAAAAAATACGGATTTGAGCACCGGAAAGAGTGAACGGGGCAGAAAAGAGGTGGTGGTCAGCCAGTGGGAAGCTGGAAACAGACTGCGAAGCAGTGCAGTTATGACATGGTCCAGACTGGCCAAGGAAATGCGGTCTCAGTCAGAGCATGGAGGCAACATTACCCGGCACAAGAGGTTAAGGAACCACGAGACCAGGGTGCAGGAAGGGTCATCTAAGTAGATATGGCAGTAACCAAGAATTGCAGGCAGGAGAAGAGATGGGGAGAGAGGCAGTAAACCAAGAGCTAAAATCTGCCTGGGATGAAGGGCAGTGGTCTTGGGAGTCCGTAGATGGCTGCAGCAGGAAGAAGTAGGTGGCAATGCCTGATGGCATCGCCACCTGGCATGTTAGGACAGTCATGAGGAATAATGGTCTGGAAGTAACAGTGAGGAGCCAGGGGGCACAGACCCCACCTCCAGGCTCAAGAGTGCATGCCAGTGTCGGGGAGAGGACAGTCACCACGTGAGACAGCTGCAGATCAGGCAGAATCTTAGGGGAGAGGCAGGGTCCAGCTGGAACAGGAGGTAAAGGGGATGTCCAGAGAAGGACCTTGCTGATGACAGACCGTGAGTCCTAGACAGTGCATTCTCAGCGTTTGGGAAGCCGGGGAGGAGTGGGAAGTAGGTCAGACGAAGCCACGCACAGAGTCACGTGGGGAGGGAGTCTGTAGTGAGGAAAAAGGCCCGGTGATGCCGACCACGGAGATCTCTGAGCAGACTGCAGCGATGAGGCTGGGAGTGTTGGGGAGCAGAGCGGGTGGGGCAATGTCACGGTCTCCATCACCTCCCACTTTCTCTTCAGCCCACTCCATCGGGGACCCAGCCCCATCACCGTACTGACACCACTCCCATTAAAGTCACTTCCATATTGCCAAAACCAGTGGTTCCTTCTCCATCCTCATTTTATAGGACCTCTCAGCAGCATCCTACACAGACAACGCCTTCCTTCTGAACACACTCTGCTTTTTGCTTTTTGGTCCCTGAACTCTCTGGCTTTCCTCCTACCGCCCTGGCCACCCTTTCTCACCTCCTTTGTGGGCTCCTACTCTACGGCTACTCTTAAAGGTTGACACATTCCCATGCTATTGGTGTGTCTGCCCTGTTCCACCGCTTCATGGACCTGCCCTGGTGAAAGTACTGTCTCCCACCATCCCCACTGCCACCTCATCCTCCAACTAGCAAGAGTTTAACTTAGAGAAAGACCTAAGAGTTAGTCACACATTGCAAGCCACGGTGAAGCTAGTATTTCAGTGAGTATTGTAGGGATTCTTGAGTTAGGGCATGTGACAGCACTGAGTGACACGAAGAATGTGCAAGCTCGTCTCTGCCCTCAAGCTGTTCGGCATCCTCTTAAGACAAGAAAGAGGTGCATAAAAATACAGTACTTCTGAACATGAAGAAATGCCAACAAGTTGCACGGTATTCAAATGGCCATGTACTTCCTCTCACTCGTTTTTTGAAGCCAAGATGAGATGACTTAGCACGAGTGAGGTCACCCTGGAAATCAGGCCCAACTCTGTCAGCCCTGAAGCCAGTGCCCCTGCTGTGGCATCCCAATGGGCAGGTGAGATTAGAAGTTAAGTACTTGGGAACTAGATAAGGCACTGTGCCACTGCAGTTAGAAGCATGGATTCTAGAACCAGACTTCGAAGGTACAAATCACTAACCAATATCACATCGCACTTACAATGCAGTAATTATCAGAGGGACCTTGGGAAAGTCACTTAACTTCCCTGTGCCTCATGGGTTAAATGTGGACAATAAATACTATCTCATAGTAATGATAAGGATTAACATGAGTTAGTATAGGTAAGGTGTTTAGAATGTTGCTGGTACGTAGAGCTGTGTAAGGTTTTGAAGACTAACAGCATTGGGAAACGATCAACAGGAGAGAAGGTTTGTTGGGTACTGGGTGCCCAACTCCTCTCTGAATCCCAGGAGCCTGGCACATGTCAGGGCTCACTGAATCAATGAACTGACAAACATATTAACATCCATAGGAAAAGACCGCCAGAGATCAGCTAACCTACTCCTGTATGCACCATCCAGGATGTCCAGGTAGGTAAATTCCACCATGACCAGCACCATCGAAAAACACCTGCTGCTCGTCTCTTTGCCCTTGATGACATCTAACAACTCAAGGATCTCAGGCAAGAGGAGAGACAGACAAACAGACCACAGGACATGCGGACATGCAGAGTCAACACTGGCATCCGGAAGACAAATCAGTCCTTGAGTGGGGTGCAAATCCAGGGCGACTGAGAATTAAATGAAATCCTATCTTCCTTTAATTTATGACTCCTAGGAATAAACGCCCAAGTTCTCAATAAGCAGGACTCAGAGGAAAGGTGGCTCAAGACAGAACATAAATCCTTTTGTTCTACACAGAAAGATCAGAAATAAAGTCATAGCGGGGAAGGAGGGGCTCAGATCTTGGTCAATCTCTTCCTTCCACTGAAGAGCTGCCCCAAATGTAATCATTCCCTCAAGGGTGATACTAGAAAGAGGAGGGTCAGCAGCAATTCTGGAGGGAAAGGTGAGATAGACGTTTACATTTTGGTGGATTCTCCATGCTTTCATAGAGCTCCTCTGTCCTTGGAAGCTCGGGGTGTGAATCAGACCCCTGTGCTTTCTGCACAGGCCCTTAGTAAATTAGGTGTGCTTGGGAGGACAGCCTTAGACCTCAGTGAGGTTCCATGCAGCCTACAGCTGGTTAGTGAGATGGATGGGGGCTGACCGCAGGGATCTCACTCCGAGAGTCAGTCCCCTCTTTGGTGGCAGCAGAAGCAGATGCATTTGCCTTGCTGGGCGCATCCTTCCCAGCGGGACCCCAGACGCCGACCCCACACCGCCCCAGTTCTCCCTTACCACGCGGCCTGGCCGGGCCCTGCGCGCCCCGCCCCGCCGGGTACTCACTCCCACTCCTTGCGCCGCGCTTGCGGGGTGCTCTGCATCTTGTGCGCCTCGTGGGCCTTGATGATGTCGCGCTGGTCGATGAGACCCCCTCGCCGCCGCTTCATCACCTCGGGGCTGACCGGGAGGAAGGGGCTGG